ATAATCGATCCCCCACTGTTTCATTCCCTCCTCACCTTCACGACCCAACTTATTTCAATAAACACCACTATCGATACTCTTTTCGGCAAAACCCTAACGCACGCGAAATCAATACGACAACCAAAACTTCTTCCTCAAAAATCAACCGTTACAAATCCAACTGCAACTGCTCACACGTAAGATTCGCACCATCACCACAAAGAATCTTTAACAACCATCGTCGACTTTCCAACCATCTATCGCGCGAAGAAGGACTGATATAGAGAGAAGTAGCGAGAGCAGAGAGAAGGAGGATACGCCACTGATGAGAGTGTAACAAATAAAAAATTGAGACACGATGATGAATACGATGGAGAAAGATGAAGATGAGAACCGCACTTCCAAGAAGATTCGTTGATGTTGAAATCTTAGTCGCCGACGGCATATTAGGAAGAAGAGTGAAAGACGGCCTGTGAGAAAGGGATGAGAAGTCAAAGGCATATGTTAGGCCCGTTGCTGCTGCTAAATGCACTCTTCCTATTGTTTGAATTACCCCATGTGGGCATGACCTTAGTATTAACGGGTCATGTTGGAATGACCCAATTTTTTTTCTTTCTTCTTTCAACCCAACTCAGGAGCTAACTGGTATGCCCTTTGGGCTTTATATCTTCAAACATCATCTCAATGAACCTTTTTTTAATTGTAATTAGGTTTAAGAGTTTAGTTCATTTAGATGTTAAGTTTTTTTAGATTTTAATCATAATTTAATTATTTATCCTTTTAGTTAATTAGCTTTACATTTTAATTCAACTAGTTTTAATTATTTTGATTTAATTGGAATTTGATTTAATTAGATTTTTAATTTTAAAGTTAGATTATTTCTATATTTTGTTTTAATTCATTTTTTTAGATTTTAGATTTAATTTATTTTAGAATTAGAATTTAGTTAATTAGACTTTAAATTAATTTAGGATTAATTTAAATAAATTTTGTTTTTGATTTTGATTTGAATTTACTTTTGAACTAATTTTATTCTTAATTTTGGTTTTAGTTCCGATTAATTCTTGAATGCGCTTGTGAATATTTCTTTGATGATATTTGTATATATTTGTTCTGATATAACTATGTTCTTGAATATTTGCTTGAGTTTCGATACTTGATGTTATTTGTGATTGTGATGATTCGTGTTTACTTGTTGATTACCTCTATATTCACACGATCCCTTAAGATTCCTAGCTCGACTTAATTTTCGATTAAGTTCGAGCTAGGAGATACATTAGGCTTTCAATCCTTTGTATGATAACATTAGGTATACTTTCCTTTTCATGCTAACCTTAGGACCATTTTGTATGATAACATTAGGGTTTTTCAATTCCCCTTTAATATTTTCTTTTGGGTCTTCTCTTCTTATTTCAAACAACTCTTAGACACTTAATAAATGATAATGAATGTTGTGCTCCACGAGCCTTAAGTATGTGGGAAATGATGAGTGAGAGATTTCTCCTCACTTGTCTAGAGTATTTAGTGTATGTCCTTTGGGCGATATGCGACACATTCGCTCCTATATCATAATCTTTAGTGCAACTTGAATCTCAAGCAAATTCAATTCACTTCATTTAAAAATCTTAAACCAAATTCAAAATTTTTTACCCTTGGGGATTGCTCTTAAACCATTTTTAGAAAAGAATGTGTTACTTTTTCATTCTATCGCAAACAGGCATCGACCCTAATTGCTGGAATGGAAACTTAGCGTCACTCATAAAAAACACTTAACTAACCAGTGGTCTAGTTTATTCGAACTACGTTTGCTCTGATTTCTCATACCAGATGAGAATACGTAGGAACAAGACAGCAATGTCTTGGCGAGCAACCTTCCCCTCATCACCTGTAGTTTTCTGAACTATGTTGACTCTGACTTTCCTATTGCATGAGGGAATACGTAGGCATAGGGCAACGATGTCCTATCGAGTCTCCTTTTTCTTTTCTATTTCCCGTTTAGCAGTAGCTTTTAAGATAACACACCCCTTGATTAGACAACAAGCGTGGACCCGGTTGAGTACAACGGACGTGAGGGGTGCTCACACCTTTCCCTTGTGTAACCGACTCCCGAAACCAAGATTTGGTTGCGATGAACTTGTCTTCTCCTTTATTTTAGGTTTTCGTCGATCGTTTCCTTTCCCTCTCTTTGGGATAAATAACGTTCGGTGGCAACTCTTCTTATTTTTTTCGCCGGTCCTTTTTCGCAGTTGCGACAGTCTCAAGCGAGCTTTTGACAAGAAAGTTCTCCCTCGAGCGTTCCACGCAGGCGAACTCGCGCTAAAGAGGTATTCTCCTGTTCACTCGAATCCACGCGTCATGTGGACTCCCAACTACGAAGGACTCTTTGTTGTTAAGAAGGCCTCCTTAGGCGGAGCTTTGATCCTCACCACCATGGATGGGGAAGAGTTGCCACTATTCGTGAACTCCAACGCAGTTAAAAAATATTTTGCCTAAAAAAATAATAATAAAGAGCCCTTTATATTGGCATCCGAAAGGGAAATCTAGGCAAAAATGGACGTCCCGATGGACCATAAAAAAGAAATGTCCATGCAAAAGTTAAGGACAAAACAAAAAAATAATAACAACCCGCTAAGTTGAAAACCCGAAAGGGCGACTTAGGCAAAATTGGGTATCCCGATGGACAAAAAAAATTAGAAAATGTCCAGGCAAAAATTAGGGATAAAGACATTTGACTGTGAGATAATAGAAACTCTTAATGACTCTTGATAGACTCACCTTTGTGACTGTGGAACTTAGGCCGATTTCTATAGAATTTTGAGGCAGAATTCCTAGAACCTTCACTAAACCGGGATACACGTGCAGGGCCATTAAAGCACGGACTATTAGAATACACCTTAAAAAAAGGTTGTGTGCGGGTTTGGTGTCTGAGATAGAGTTCAAGACAATGATGCCACTTTTGTTGAATCGGAATCCTACTTGCTACGCAAAGGTTCAAGTGATAGACACCTTTGTTTATGCACAATCTTAGAAACGTTTAACATTACTTCTGAAACACTTTTTTAAATTCAAGTGGAGAATTGTTGGAACATTATGTCAATATTCAAATATAGGGAGATGAATTTAAAAAAATTTCTTAAGTCAAGTCTCACATTGTGTGTTAGTTGAAAAAACTCCTTAGTCTCACATTGCTTAGATGAGATTTATTTTCTTCAACACTTCATTATATAAGGAAATTCCTTATTTCATTCCAAAACACACCAAAAACTAATTTTGAGTTTTTTCCTTCCTCACTCTCATAACTCCGCATCTTTCTAATTGACGAAGCGCCAATTTCTCTCTCTTTCTTTCTACTCGTTGAATTTCCCGAGTATTTTCTTGAATTCTCTTTAGAGACTTATGTTAATTTCTCCTTGTTTGAGTTGAGAAATTATCAAGTATAATTTTTAGATTCTCTTTAAAGAATTATTTGAATTTCTCTTTGTTTGAGAAATCATTTTGAGTGGTTAAATGACAATTGTTAAATTCTCTTTGGAGAATTATTGGAATTTCTCTTAGTTTGAGAAATTATTATGACCGGTTATTATATCAGATACTACGAGTGGTATTAACCATATTTGAAAGGTCTCTGTACCCTTAGAGGGTCTATTTTTAGACCGATTATCTATCATGCAAGTAATAATCGTACAGTATAGAACTGAGTTGTCTTATCTTGGAGGCGGCATGGTAGTTCGACTGCTTTGTATAACTTTAAGCACTGCCGTGAAACATTTTAAAAAGAACGATCCAATTCGCAACTCGACCCGGTAATTTTTTCTGTGGCTAATTTTCAAAACCGTGAAATAACATTATATTAATATAACTTTTGATGGTACAGTAGGTCATTCAGAGTAACTAACTATTCTCCCTCTTCTTCGGACTTGTCCTTATTAGGCCATTTTCATTTCCATCATCCTCATTCAGTTTGAATTTTAACAACCAATTTCAACATCTTGAAGTGAAGAACATTGTGTAATTTCAAGCTGTTTTGTATAATCAAAATCTAAATAATACAGAACTTTGACTTCAAAAAATTCTTAGTCTAGGAAAAGTTTGAAATTTTCTTTTTTCAGAAAAAGCTTTTAAGTTTCATGTTATTAATATAACGGAAAGTTTCTCACCTGTTTCCCTATTTGGGTTATGCTTTGATACTATAGATTACTTTTGTAAATGGAACATGTTTACATTCTATCAGGGCAAGAGAAGTCTATACTCAAATTTTATGTTGAAGAATTTCTAAAACATCCTAAATATATATTTATATATGTTTTAACATGTAAATAATGAGGAAGAAAATGGAATAATGGTTGAAATTGAATCTTTGTAGAAGCAATTTTATAGTTTGAATCGTTGTAGAAGCAATTTGATAGTTTTTAGTTGTTTATATTTAAGGAGTGTATCTTTGGATTTAGTTGGATGATACCCTTATTCAATGAAATATTCACTTTCAATATTATGTTATTTGTTACATATATTTTATTTAAAAATAAATTAATATTTTAAATTAATTTACATTAAAAGTGTGATACCCAACTACTTTTAATAGATACCTAAGAGTTTGTTAAATTATCACAATAATCTCAATTTTATTTTTAAAATATTAAAATGACATGGCAAATGTAAGAATTTTAATTGGTTGTATGTGTAAAACTGTTTTATACTAACAATTTTTAAACTCAAACAATTATTGTTTTTTCTTTAAATTTTTAATATTGGAGAACTAAAATCAAATATTCTATAAATTAGAGTCAAATTCAATATAAAGCAATTTTACAAATACAAAAACAAATTAATAAGAATAAAAGACAAAATAAAAAATATTTGTAAGTACTAAGAAAATTCCATAACAATGAACCATACAGCAAGAAAATTCCAATACGTACCTGCAAAGTCAGACATCAAACAGTGTTGTTGATTATTAGTGGTCTTTTATGAAAACTAAAATTCACCATATATCATAATAACATGAAGCAATCATCTCGGTAATGGATTTCATCAATTATACAAACCTTTATTTCATTTTGATCATTCTATGTTTTCTAGATTTGAGTGTTTCCATAGACACAATTACATCAACTAAGTTTATAAAGGACCCTCCAACTCTAAGCTCCAACAGTGGTAACTTCACCTTAGGCTTCTTCAGTCCTGAAAATTCTTCAGATCGCTATGTTGGAGTTTGGTGGCAGCCTCAGTTCACAGTCGTATTGGTGCTTAACAGAGATCAACCACTCAAAGATTCTTCTGGCGTTGTTACAATATCTGATAATGGTAATGATCTTGTGGTATTAAATGGAAAGAAAGAGGTGATTTGGACATCCAACGCACCGAATATTGCAACCAATTCTAGTTCCAAACTTTTAGATTCTGGGAACCTCGTACTACTTGAAGGCGCAACAGGAAGAACTGTATGGGAGAGTTTCCAACATCCATCAAATGTTGTATTACCAAACATGAAACTTACGAGCAACAAAATAACAGGTGAGAAAGTGAAATTCACATCATGGAAAACACCTTTTGATCCCTCCGTTGGAAGCTTCTCTATAAGTGTCGAACGACTTAGTACACCTGAAGTTTTCATTTGGAATGAAACTCGAGCCTATTGGCGCAGTGGTCCGTGGAATGGTAAGGTTTTAACAGGGCTTCCATATATGAAACCTCATTATCTCGGTGGTACACATATTGGAGATGATGGAGAAGGAAACGTTTCCTTCTTTAAAACATCAACGAATACAGTTGCTCTTGTAATCTATAATCTGACTTCAGAAGGAAATGTTGAAGAGAAATTGTGGGATGAACAGAAAAAAGAATGGAAAATAACATGGAATAGTCATGAAACGGAATGCGATGTTCATGGGGTATGTGGACATTTTGCAAGCTGTAATTCAGAGAGCTCACCAATATGTAGCTGTCTGAAAGGGTTTGAGCCAAGGAACAAAGAGGAATGGAATAAACAAAATTGGACTGGTGGGTGTGTTAGGAGGACACCTCTGCAGCATTGTGAAAGAGACAGAAATCAAAACGCAAGTGCAGACAATAAAGCTGATGGTTTTCTGAAACTGCAGATGGTTAAAGTTCCTGATTTTGCAGATGCGTCATCTCTCACAGTTTCATCAGAATCGTGCAGAAGTCGGTGTTTGGAGAATTGCTCCTGTGTTTCATATTCATATGATACTGACATTGGTTGTATGTCTTGGACTGGAAATCTAACTGACATACGACAATTCTCAAATGGAGGACTTGACTTGTATATTCGTGTAGCACAGGCCGAACTTGGTAAACATTTTGCTAGTTTTTATTTGATCTACGAATAAAATTCACCTATCGGTTTTTTGGAATGAAAATTTTCAATTTTCCTTAGTTACAGGTAAAGTTAGAAACATGTCAGTCATCATTATTATAACAGTGATAGCAGGAACTGTCTTAGTTCTTGGTTGTGCATATATTATATGGAGAAGAAGATCTAATCACCATGGTAATATACCATCATGATAAATTCAAATTATACTCAAATGATTTTCAACATATTAGTACAGACAATTAGAATCATACTAATTCGTGGCTTTCAAATAAATCAGCAAGAAACCGGAATGACAACGCAATTGGAGAACTGTCACTAATTAAACTCCAAGAGCTATTACTATTTAATTTTGGCAAAATTGCAACGGCAACTACTGACAACTTTCATTCATCCAACAAACTTGGTCAGGGTGGTTTTGGACCGGTATACAAGGTATATCAAATGCAGTAAGCTCAATAATATTTGAGGTCATTAACTGTATTAGTTATATCTTCATTTCTTTACGGGTGTGGGATGTAGAAGGTATTAAATTTTTGTAACTCTTCCATTCAAAGTTCAATCTGTGTGATTCAAAAATTCTTGAACTTGTTCTTGTTCTCTATTTTTTGTAGCTTCTAGGACACAAAAGGTACAGTCATTTTGTTTGGTATGATGAAGAGATACAGGACATGAATACATGCCAGTATTTTGATTGCATTTTGAATTAGACATTTTGACTGTATTTTGACAAACCAATTCTATAGTACATGACATGAGTGCAAACCAGTATTTTTATAAGACATGTTTACAAGCCATTGTTTGACTTCATTTAGACTGGTTTACAGCGAATCAGAGACCAATCAAAAATACTTTACAGCCCATTATTTGACAGCATTTTGACTGCATTATTTGACTCCCAATCAAACCCAATATTATAGGCCTTTATTTTGATAACATTTTGATTGCATTATTTGACTCCTAATCAAAACCAATATTACATGCCATGATTTGACAGCATTTTAACTGCATCGTTTAGCAGATAACATGATATTTATAACAGTGAAAAGTAATAATACTTGTTCATTACATCAAAAGGATAACTTGTTCATAACATCAAAATGAAATGAAACTTGAAACTTGTTCTAACATCAAATTAACAACTAATTAACATTATTACAAGAAACAACTAATTAGCACCCTAATTAAAACTACTGTTTAGATGTTTGTGTTGGTTGGGATGCCTCTGATGAGCTTTCAATCTCTATTGCTCATGTATCTGTCTTCTTCTAATTTCCACCCTTTATAATCTTTTTCTTTCCACCCTCTATTGCATATCTCTTTGCCTTCTTCTTATTTCCACCTTTTGGAATGACCTTGTCAGCAACTTCTTTTTCTTATAGTTTTTTGGTTAAATATGTTTTTGAATCCTATAAAATTAACTACTTATGTTTTTGATCCCTATAAAAAAAATAGCGTGTTTTGCTCTCTACAAATTAATTATGCACGTAATTTTAGTCCCTACTATTAAATCAATGTGAAATTTTGAATGATTATTTTGCAAATATGTTTAGAGCCTCGAAAAAAAAGAACTCAAATTTGATTTATAAGTCGATAATTTCATTACTTTTATCATTATCTTATGAAATTTAAAAAATTCATATTTAATTCTTCTCATTTTAAAAAAATTATATAATTTGGTAAATAAATATTTAATAATAATAATGAAAAAATTTATTCAAAAATCTAAAAATTTAGAGGTAATTAAATAGTTTTTAAAATTTTAAAAAATAGTAAGGATTAAAACTAAATGTATAAAATTTTTGTATAAATCAAAATATGTGTTTTTTTTATTAAAATTAAAAATAAAGTGTGAGATATTTAGAAGAAAAACATATTTAATTTTAGTTTCTTTTATTGTATCCCATGGCTTCACACTTATGCAAAGTAACTGTTGTAAGCTTCTACAAAGGCCATGTGGATTTTTAGACTCATTATTGACATTGTTTAGCGTCTTTTTGGAATGACCAATTGCCATTCTCATCATTGGTGGGTTGATTGTTACTTTGCCATCTAAAGGCCAAAATTGTGGCCCATTGGTATGGTGTATTATTTATGAGTAAGTACTTTTATAGATAGTCTTCCTGCACATAGAAATAATACACAAGTTATGCATAAAATAAGCAAAAATTTTAAACAAAAATCATGTAGTGGGCTTATTGATGACACATATCTGTAATAATCAGATACATATTTTTCTTGTTGTTTCTAGTTTTTCGATATATATGTTATGACATGACTATATGAAATTCTAGTTAAATTTCATTTCCTACATGTACATGTCTTTTGTTTTAGATTGACAAAAATTTGTTTCATTGTCATTGGTCACACCATATATGGCTAAATCACCATGCTACGTGGAGTCCAATTTTCTGCAAATTTCTTATTTTTCTCGAGCACCAACTGTATTCTAGAGCAAATACCAGCAATATACTTATTCAAAGGTTTTTTTTTAATAGAATTCAGTGTACACATCTACCAACTTAAATCCATTAACATCATCAACAAACTTAAGTACATCGGCATCATAATTAAGGTGTCTAAGGCCATGAGAAAAATTAAAGTTAGGGTTCCAATACCATAACTTGATATTCATATATCTGTCATTTTTAATCAAACTTTCCAATGGCATATATATGACATATAGTACACATTCCACTTCTGATTCATTTAAGATGTTTCTTCATTAATATCCAATTTAACATGTTGCATACTAATTTTCCTCTGTGATAAATTCTTAACCTAATTGTTTGAGTCTAAAGTGGTTTAAATAACAAATTAAAAGACACAACTAGAATAAATTGAAATTTGGTTATCCTCCTGTTAACTCCTAAATTCGACACCCCTTGCAAGTTAAGATATTTAAGAGAAAGTATTAGAATCTTGCTGGAGGTGAGAGTTGGTCAAAAAGTGTCAGACCTTTTGAGCAAGAGGAGTCGAAACACTTGCAAGACTTAAGAAAAATCGTGAGACTTCAAGGCTTTGACCGTGACGTTGCTAGGTAGTTATCCTAAAGATTTGAAATTCAAATGAACTGGAGGAATTGGTTTCGCTCGCTGGATGACTGAGAAGGACACGTGGCGCCTTGTGGGCGACGTACCCATGCAACACGACAAGTGTCGGAAGATGATGATGTAGGAGGTTATTGGTAGTTATTTTTTACTATTATAAATATGAGTCTTAGACGTAGAATCTAAGGTGTTGTAATTTACTTTTGTACAAGTCACTCTTAAAATTGCTCCAAGTATCAAAGTGTAGAGAAAGAGAGTACCAAAGAGAATGTACGTGATGTAAACACGCCATCTTTTACTTTCCAATGAAGTTTATTTTACTTGTTTAACTTTACGAAGTTTTCTTTACCTTTCTTGCAATTACCTTCTTTCTATGCATTTTCCTTCATCCTCGTCATCAATCCTTTTCTAAAGCCTTTATCTTTTCCTTTCTAAAAACTTTATGTTCTTTTTCTCTTATAGTCGAATAGATACTTTTTAGAATCTTTTACCGCAATATTGCCAAAGTATGAAACTTAAATAGATTTTCTAAATTCAGAACCTTTTTAGCACATGTCCTAGAATCAATCTGCTCGATCCTGTGAGTCACCAAAGTTAGATTTGGAAGATCAGTGGTTGTTTTCCAATTTTCAAGGGAAACAAAATGGCACGCCCAGTGGAACAGTGCTAAAAAGAAATTCTTTTACATAATCAAAACTTGTAGAAATTATAGTCTTATTGGTCCTTTCGTGAAAAATGCATTTTATGTTACTGAGAAGTGGTAGAATTACCGCTGTAAACGAAGAGAGACTAACAAGACGAAACATTAGGAATATGGCGACAAATGTGAATCACCCAAATAATCCTAATCCTCAAGGAGACGATTCTAGTGAATGAACAGGGAACGACGTAGTCCCGCCTTCGATACCGTCAATAGGAGAACAAACAGCGCATCCTGTGAGGCCAGAGCCAACACCCTCGGTGCTTGGGACTGGGTCGACCATAATAAGACCTTACAGTCAACCAGTGTTAGAATATATGGGCCTCAGGTGTCGAATCCTCAAATGTCGTTGGGAGGAAGTTTGACGTCTAGACAGTTTACTCCTCCCGGGTTTTCGCAATCACCAAGAAACCCCCCATATGGGATGCCCACAGCTGTAATGCAAGGGCTCCAAAATGCGCCTCCCATATTCTCAGATAATGCAATGGCTTCGCCATTACAAGGATCAGGATTTGGCGTGAACATTGGTCGAAATCCCCAAGGTTCAAGCCTAGGGTATTCGAAACAAGGCCCTAACTTGACCAATACCTTTGTTGCGTGTTTAAGACAACAAATGGATGAAAGCAATTTGCAAATGGTTCAGACTCTGTCCCAAACCATGGGTGAAATCTTTCAAACGATAATCTAAAACACGACCCACACCAAGCAACAGTTAGCAGTACAATTGACACGATTAGCTGAATTCATGGGGGTACCTCCCCTGGCCAGGAATCAGGCTCTGATAGCAAACGTTCCACGACAAGACTTGGGACACCAACCAGTAGTGGAAATCAGGGAAGGATTGGTCATCCCGTAGTCGAACCATCTAGGGTCGAACCGTTGAGAGAGTAGGTTCATGCTCCAGGGGAGAGGGACCCAGAAGTAATGATAGTGAATCAAAACCAGGACGCAGACAATGTCGTCCAGCAGGTTCGACGCAATAATGTGGCTGTCGATAATAATCTTGCAGCCATGGTCGAAAGAATTATGGTTCGAAATGGTTTGAACACTGGGTTCACCCGGCCAAACTACACCTCTTCGATAGCAGATTATATTCTTCAGGCGGAGTTGCCTCCTAGAACGAAAGCGCCCAAGTTTACTAAGTTCTCAGGAGATACGACGGAATCCACTGTCGAACATGTGGCTCGATATATAATCGAGGCAGGAGAGATAGCAAATGACGAGAGTCTTAGAATAAAATACTTTCCAAGTTCTCTTACTAAAAATTCCTTCACTTGGTTTATGACGCTACCTCCTGTAACAGCCCAAATTTCATTAAATAATTAACTGTAGTAATTAATTTATTTAGTGGGATTTTATCAATGTTGGAAATTAATTTTTATTAATTGGGATTAATAGAGAATTAAGAAGGAATTGGAGAGGAAGGAAAATGAAGGAAATATATAAGAGAGAAAGAAAAGAAAAGAAAGATAGAAAACATTTGGAAAGAAAGAGGAAAGAAGAAGAAAGGAGAGAAAGAGAAGAGAAGAAGAGGAAAAGTGGAAATCATCAAGAACCAACATCAAAGCTCCGATTAATCGAGGTAAGGGTGAGAAATGTTTCTATTTGATCATTGTATGATGTTATGTATGTTGGGTTGGGGTTTGGTAGAGTTTTCATCACTTTCCAATTAGGGCAAAAGTTGGAATAATCGGTAGATTGAT